GGAAGAGGGAAGGAGTGGCAGAAAGGAGAGTTGTCAGGTCCAAAGGTGAATATCGGAGCAGATGGGAGAAGAGTAGGAGGATGACAGAAGGGTGGAGGTGTTGTGAGGAGGGAGTGGAGGAGTAGGAGGAGTAGTAGGAGGGTGGTGGGAGGGGTGGTGTTCGGTCCAAGGTGGGTATCAGAGTGGACGGAGATAGGACAGGAGAGGGATGGAGGAGTGGAGGTGGCATGGGGGGTGAGAAGAGGTGTGGTGCCAGGACCGAAGGTGAACATCGGAACGGACAGCGGTAGGGTAGGACTCCGGAAGTGGTGAAGAAGGAGGTCCGGGAGTCAGGTCGGGATCGGGTATGCACGGATATGACACTCTCCCCACAACCATCCATGACCACTATAATAAGGGCACTGTAGCTGCCCCAGGCCCTGCAGCCTCAAAGGTACGTCTATTCTTTGTCAGGGACCCGTGCTTGACTAATATCTTGAGGTATCCTCTGGCGAAAATGCTGCCCCATCCACACAACTCAATTGGATGCCACCCTATTTGGGCACAAGTTGTTAGAACTGGGCGGATTCGGATGACTCCGGAGTGGAATCGGAGACTTAGCGTGGAAGGACCTCAGCCTCAGCGACTCAGGCGGAGCGCTGTGCCATTGCTGGTTGTCCTAGGGGTCCCTAATTTCAGATCTAGCAGAGGGAAAGTCTCTTGGGGGGAATTCATGTTGATTTCGGACTGAGGTTACAAGTTACTATGTACATTGTATATAAGGAGGGGTCCGGAATCAAAAGGAGCGAGGGTAGGATGAAAGGAGACAAAGGGAGATGGAAAGAGGAACAACACCGAGGGTCAAGGGTTTGACTCAATGGTGTTTCTCAAAGGAGGAATGAAGGGCCAAGGCCCAAGGAGGAAGGAAGGAGGTTGGGAGTCGGGAATGGCTAGCTGACTGAATAGAAAGGAAGCAGCAGCCCAAATAGGAATGAGGGAGAATAGCGGAATTGAATAGGACAATGCAATAGTTGCAAGGTCCGAGGTAAGTCCGGAAAGTCCGAACTCGGAAGTTAAACTCCGGAATATTGGCAAAGGTAATTAAATGGAATGAGCTAACCAATACAATGGGTATAAGTGGAGGTGGGGTCAAAGTCCAAGGTCGGAGCTAAGACCGGAGGTTCCGGAGACGGAGACACGAACAAGATTCCGGAGTGGAGGTCCGGAGTCGGGAGCATAGGTTTTGCATACTCATCTGGAAGGTGTCGAGGTTGGGGTCGGACCCGGAATGTCCTGGAGTCGGACCAAAGGTGGTGTCAGAGCCGGAGGTGGGATAACCTCTTGGGAGTCGGCAAGGAGGAGGTGATGGAAGGGAAGTAAGACTCCGGAAGTCAGGTTCGGAGTTCCGGGAGCCCGGAGCGGAGGTCGGGATTGTATGGATATGACACAAGTTTGTGATCTACATTCACACTAAGTTACACTTCCATCTGAACTAGCAATTCCAACTTTCGAGTTCACTACAGCAGATGTTTCTGCTGCTAATGGAGAGGTATTGTACAGTGAGTAGCCTTTAGTACTCTAGCATGGATGTTACAGATACGGTGTAGGAGAAATAATATTCAAAGAATAAAACAATGATCTATCAGAATAGTCAACGAACAGGTGACAAGTTGAGACGTTTAACAGATCTCATGATCTTTATGAGACTGGACAGACATTAGATCATTATAAATTATCTACACCCATGTAGTATGAGATTTAATCTACTACAATCATGCCTAGAACTTGGCATAGGTGTAATATTCAAAGAATATAACCCTACAACAAGAAAATAGCACATAGACGGCAGAATAAGAAGGAACATTGGGAAAGAAATGTGAATATCTCGGGAACCAGTAAACTTTTGACTGTAATTTTTTTACCATCTGAAAGGACTGTTCCTTAACTTTATCCACGGTTTTGTTTCATTCTAAAAGCTTCAAAACTGACGGAGATATCGCTCAAACGGCGAAACACCTTATAATTCATATATATTTATTTGCTAATTCTTACAAAAAGTAATGTGACTCAAGGGAAATATATTGGCGCCCGGAAGTCTGGCGGACCGAATACCATATGATAGAGTATTCCCCGGCGCGGGCGGACAGTTTTTGATCTCATCGGAAGAGGAGAAAATGCTAAAAAACCGGATCTTGTATATTTTCCCATGATTCATCAAAACTTTTTGATTTTAAGCTCAAATAAATCGGAACAAAGGAATGATTGATGATCTGGATCTCGGATCATAAGCATGAAGTGATTCAGAAGTCCGCGGATCAGTTAATTAATTGGGAAGGCTCTAGAACATTAGTAATGATGCGGCTTCACAAAAAGGGGTCAATTAGAGAACAGTCTAGAAAGTTCCTTTATAGCCGAGTCATTTCTAAAGATAACCGTTCGTAATTAAGGCGGTGTAGAGCATAGCTTCAGCGCTACAAGATCCCGCTGAGATCGGCCCAAAAGACAAAGAAATGAATTACTTATTGCTGAGTCATGTCCTAAGTCCATTATTAAGCTTACACAGCCCATGTCATATCCATCCCCGGCCATCGACTTCCGTTCCCTCCAATCCCTCCGATCCAACTCCGCTCCTCCTCACTAACCTCGGAGCCCCCGTATCCCGCAATCCTCTCGGCGTCCCTCGATGGTCACCACCCCCTCATTTCAATTTATTACCTATGCCTCCCTAAGTACGGAGCCCCGAAGACTTCCGGACAGCTCCGACGTCCGCTAGCGCACCCCCGCCTCCGCTGGGTAATACACTCGCCTGCCCTGCAGAGCCCACCTTCGGGCCTATCCCTCCTTTCCGTTTCTGGGTTAACACCTGCCTTTCCGCTAACCCCGCGAACTGACTCGTCGGTAATATTCAGTTGGCTAATGCTTAAACCCCGTTAGCTCCGCTCCGTTCGGCTCCGCCAATTGCGGACCTGTCCCCACTGTAACCATATATATATCCCACTTGTACATAGGTTACGCCCCAGTAGAAAAATCAACTAGAGTTACCCCCCCAGGTTCTAAGTGCCAGTCAGTAAGTTAGGGCACGGACGTGTCACTAGGCACAGCGCTCTTGGCAGAAGTCGCTGAGGCCAAAGCCCTCCGTTATGGAGACATTCCTTCGTCTCGACCCTGGTCTCTGACAGCCCAAGCCCCTATATCATTCTAGAACTATCTATAATACAAATGTAGCACATGTAACTAGTGCGAGGCGTGGGAGTAGAGAGGCCTCTGAAAAGCATAAAAGGCCACCGCTTCTGCCCCTCTCAAACCTCAGGTAGAAATAAAAGTTTAATTCTCCTCACTAGTGGTTGGTTCATTTGCTCCAAAAGATAAAAGCAAATATTAGTTGTTAGCTAATATAAAACTAACACGTCACTCTAAGCGTGAGTTAGGGTCAGTTAGACACAGCTGAACAAAAGTGTCATAGTGAGAATTAGTGAGAATTTGGTGGAGGGACTTCTTAATTGAATAATCTCTCAGCAATACTTGGTTATCACACCACAGGAGAAAAGTGAGCGATCCTGAACCTGCTAGATAACTAGCACGCACTCTAAGCGATAGAAAGAGCAGTTTGGTCACTCCTGTATTGAGTAACATTTATTGCGGAATTATTTTATTAGTAGTTTTCCTTCAGTAAATTATCAGGAAAATCACGTCCTACTGAAAAGTGGTATATCTAGGTGTAATATTGACTAGAAATCATAGTAAAGTTAATATAAAATTTTATCCGTAGACGATCTATACGTCAGGTGAGATCGTTGGGGGGTGTTTATTGTTGTTTAGACAGTGAACAATCATATATTTGGCAACCAAAACACAGTCAGTATGCAAATCAGCACAAACTCTAATATCGTTATTGGACGTAGGAAACTGGTTACATAAGGTGATCCAGCTCCGCTCCTTCAACGGAGTCTCCAACGACCATATCCGTTGCATAGTCAAAGACTTCTCCTCTCTATCACTCCCCCTCTTTCTCCCTTTCGTCCTCTATCCCGATACCCTACCCTCCTTACTCGTTCTACCCCTTCCCCCCCCTCGTGCAAAGCTTTCCCCATTGGGGTTTTGGTGCTGGCCGAGGTTATTTGTGTTTCGCAGGATTTCCCATGACCTTACCATTTGTAGATAGTCATGCGTCATGTACGGAAACCGCCGAAGGCAGTTCCCGCTAACTAACAACTGCTCTACAACTGTCTTGTGTGTCGTCTTCTGTAACAACCCTTCCTGTGACTCAACTGAACCGTGTGACTGTACAACTCACAACATGTCTTATAAGTCTGGTTATGTCGAGTCCTCTAACAGTCCCCACCATGAGAGCTCGAGGTCGGGAGTCGAAGACTCTCGACATGTGTATCATCCTATGGAATCTGTACCCTACGGGACTTCACCATTCCACTCTCCCCCCAGTGCTTGACAGACGACGTCACCTCATGATCTTGGAGATCGTGAATACTCTGAGGTCCACTTTCCTGTGATGCCGGCACGTTCGCTATGTGAACACCAAGTAGCCACCCATCCACTGTCTGTTCCCTCCTTCGTCAGTCATCATATCCCCCTGCCAACGGTACGTTCCCTTTGGGAATGCCAAGTCACCGAAGGCCCCGCTAGTCAATCCTCATTGCGTGCTCATGATATCAACCAGCTACCAGTACGTTCGCACTGCAAACACCAAGTACCCGATAGCAGTTATACGAAGATCTTACCCACCTCACGAGTCATGACCTTGCACACGGTACGCTCCATTGAGGAGCGCCAAGTACCCATGGCTGACCCATCCAGCCTGACGTCTCCGACTACCTATCATCAATCCCTTAATAGCTCACTACATCACCAATCACGATCGATGGGAATTTGATCGTCCACTCCCATACAAGACTGGGATCACTCATTGATTACATATCCCGTTATGGTACAGACTAGATACGACGTACATCATCCTGCTATAAGAACGGATCGAGGAATGGGGATTTTCCCCCATCCCCATAACAATGGAGCTGACTTCAGGAATGTGGTGTATACAGGTCACGGAGCACCCTGCCACTGGCAGTATGCTTACCACCAGTCATGGGTATCAGCCACGGCCATGGCAAAACACCCTTAGGGTCACGACTCAAGATGGTTTATCTGTTAATCGCCCAGGATCACGCAGTCTGACACCAGTTTCAATGAGTGATCAGGTAAGGGATCCCCTAGGAATTTGCCCAAACCACTAATTTATTGTCGGAAGTGCCCATCTCCTGCTCTAACTTGTCTCAGTGCAAAGTTGGCAACAGGCAGTCGCCAACCATCACCACTTAGTATCACTGCTGGCCATGATGATGACAGCAACGGTAGGAATAGTATCCCTGAGGGATTAGCACAAGGCCCAGCCAGCGGCAGCAGCAGCAGTGATATCAAGTTCAACAGTCCAGGCTTGGTCCTATCTAGCCAAATTGGTTCCCTCCAATCCTGTGAGGATGTCAAGGAGGAGAAACTGGTCCATGTTGGCCATACCAAGGCAGTCCTGAGGAAGAACATGAAGAAGGACCCCCTGCTAAACTCCATTTTTGAACACATACATGCTGACTTCTACTTGCTTGCAATAACAGATGACCTCTTTATAGAAAATGTTGACTGTAATATGGTTGTTCAGAGACTTGCCCAAGACATGTTCTGCAGATCCGGAATTCCACCGTTTGAGATACAGGATAGTATAGTCGCTACTGTAAGTCATCCCCACTGGAATGGATCATCTTTGCTGAATCTTCCCACTAAGCTTGCCCGTGACATTAAGTCATGGAGGTCTAAACTCAAGAAACACCTTGTGAACATAGTTCCTTCCTTCTATGGAGTGGGACCTGGTGTAGATGGGAGTACTGTCCAAGAGATTGTCAGGCTCTCACTCTCCAATTCAAATTTTGCCTTTCGCTCATACAGTTTGGACCCTGGTAATGTAATCTGAATCCCTGTTTGTATTGCTCAAATTTTCACGTTCTGGCAATGTCTAGCCCCAATCTGGTGCATTGGAGCACCTGGCTATCATGGCAGTTCTAGACTATACCTTTGCATTGAAGGAGCTCAAGCCGAATTTCCCTATGGCACACTGTCAGGGCATGGACAGTTATCTGGCTGGCCCGGACCCCTATCCGGATAGGTTGAGTACCTGTAAGCCGATATCTGTGTGTGATTTGCCATAGTTAGAATGCAGGCTGTATTCAATGCACTATTTCCGCTCTCATGTCATCCCTTACCCGTTATCGCCCTCTTATCCGCATGATCTATTCTCCTATCTCATGTCGCTTCTCTATTGGCTACCATGTATTCCCAATGTAGCTGCGCTCTTATGAGTTGCAGAACTTGTGTATATAAGGCCTTATCACCAGCTGGGTTGGCCCCCAGCTTTTACAACAACTAGTTTCCCGGGGAGATTCTTATGTGTGAACTGACATGCGGACTCTGACACACATGCTGAGTTGGAAGTCAAACTGCAAAAACCTAGGTCTTCCAGTATTCAGTTATGCACTAACAATGGTGAGCCAATGGTTGGCACTTAAGTTATGAAGTTCTAATCCACATGCACTTAACTTTAGATCAAATATATTCTAAACCAGTATAAGTCGGGAAGTCTCGCAGACCCCCAGCAGGAGTTCAGTTCCTCTGAGTATTCTGAGGAGTGGGCAAAGATTTTGAGGTCCCTCAATGAGTGGCGAATGAAACCAAATTGCATCGATGATTGGAATTGGATCTCCAATGAATATGGCAAGAGAGCACTGTGCGTCAATGATACTTTTTCTTGATAGTTTTGAGTCTTAATTTTACTATTTATCTTTAGTGCAAAGCTTGGATTTACCAACATGGAGAGTACTTTTGTCATTTTGGACACCGATTAGCTCTATCCATTGTCCTATATTACGCAACAATAAACACCCATTGATTCCAGTGCTTGCCATGACTGCTTTCTATTCGCACTTGAGCTGATTGTGACACTAATTCATGAGATGCACCTTGATATCACTGAAATCAGCGCAATCTATGCTCAAATTGAATCAAAGAGGCCTCTGTCAGGGGACGACTCCCGGGTCCCCATGACCCTCCCCTATGGTCCACAGCCTGTAGTGTAACCAGCCCTATCCAGGGCACAACTCTACTGTGGGTAAGAAGATGTGATAAAACAAGGGCAAGTATATACACTTGCCTACTGTGGGTAAGAAGATGAGAAGGAAGCTAACTTCTTGTCAGGGTTCAGCACCCTGCCTTAGGGTGCCCCGGACTCCCCACCTACTTTACCCCCTTTTATTCTTTGACTGTTGCCTTGTTGTTGCCTTTGTGTGTTGTGTACACGCGCGCGCACGGGATAGCGTGGGAACTTTCTGAGCGAGCAGCTCGCCCAGAATGTTCCCATGGGTCACAGCCACAGTTCTGGGCGAGCAACTCGCCCAGAACGTTCCCACACTGTAGGAATATAAAAGTTACAACACTAAAACAACCAGAAACCATCACAAAAAATTGGATAAAAATCATACAACCTCCACGGACCAGAAATAAAAATAGGAATAAAATCATAACTCAACAAAATGAATTGAAATAAAATATCGGAAAAATAATGAAGAACAGAGTCGATGGATTGAGTATCTACACGAACTTTCAAGTCTAGGGATTAAAAGATGGTTCAGAAAATGAAGAAAAACAGCAAATAAACTCACATGAAAACAAAAACAAGGTTTCCTGTATCAAATAAAATATTAGAAATTCGTGGTAACGTGGGAAAATAGTTTTACGAACGTACGAAACGAATGACAAAGAGAAATCGGAAGGAAATCAAGGCATTCATATAATGAAAAATGGTCGGGTACGAGGAAAAGATGAAAGAATTGGAAATATTTATATGAGAAAAATAGGGAAAAATATGAATCTTTGTCGGTCTTAAAGAGTTGAAGTATAGGTCTGTGTACGAAAAGATTTCATGTTAAAATCTGAAGAATTGAGGGAGAAATGGATTTAACAAGATTAAAACACACTTGCAGAGAAGACTGGCTCAAACATCCTGAGTTTGTGGTAAAAACGGATGAGCTAGAAATGCGAAACTAAAGAGTTTGAGTCCAGGAACAAGGCATAATTTATCCAGAATTAATCGTAGGAAAATGGATGAGCTAATGCCAAAGCAATCTGGAGAACCTCAAAATTAAATCTTGAAAAATTCATATCTTCATAAATAATCCTCGTAGTTTACTGTTGTTTATACCGACGGAAAGCTACACTCTTAAGCTAACAAATAACCCCATGACATGTGACCTAGAATAAAGTGAGTAAACAAGGGTAAACAAGGTCATGATGGGTGTTAGGCAATGCAATTCCCACACCAAAACTTCCAGAAAGTTCTAGAAGCAGAATGGGATGCTGATCGCTTACATAAGAGGATTGCTAAGCTCAATATAAGATTACTCAGCAATGTAAATAGTAAAGTGACATGTGAAAACAGAGCCCTTAGGAAAGGTATAAAGGACCGCATTTTCTGGTCTGACCCCTCTTCCTTCTTTACTCCTCTCCCCTACGTGCTCTGGCTCATAGTGTTAGAATGTGCGGATTCGGACGACTCCGGAATGGAATCGGAGACTTATCATGGAAGGACCTCAGCCTCAGCGACTCAGGTGGAGCGCTGTGCCATTGCTGGTTGTCCTGGGGGTCCCTAATTTCGGATCTAGCAGAGGGAAAGTCTCTTGGGGGGAATTCCAGTCAATTTCGGACTGAGGTTACAAGTTACTATGTACATTGTATATAAGGAGGGGTCCGGAATCAAAAGGAACAAGGGTAAGACGAAAGGAGACAAAGGGAGATGGAAAGAGGAACAACACCGAGGGTCAAGTGTTTGACTCAATGGTGTTTCCCAAAGGAGGAATGAAGGGCCAAGGCCCAAGGAGGAAGGAAGGAGGTTGGGAGTTGGGAATGGCTAGCTGACTGAATAGAAAGGAAGCAGCAGCCCAAATAGGAATGAGGGAGAATAGCGGAATTGAAATGGACAATGCAATAGTTGCAAGGTCCGGAGTAAGTCCGGAAAGTCCGAACTCGGAGGTTAAACTCCGGAATATTGGCAAAGGTAATTAAATGGAATGAGCTAACCAATACAATGGGTATAAGCGGAGGTGGGGTCAAAGTCCGAGGTTGGAGCTAAGACCAGAGGTTCCGGAGACGAGACGTGAACGGGATACCGGAGCGGAGGTCCGGAGTCGGGAGCATAGGTTTTGTGTACTCGTCTGGAAGGTGTCGAGGTTGGGGTCGGACCCGGAGTGTTCCGGAGTCGGACCGAAGGTGGTGTCCGAGCCGGAGGTGGGATAACCTCTTGGGAGTCGGCAAGGAGAAAGTGATGGAAGGGAAGTAGGGCTCCGGAAGTCGGAGTTCGGAGTTCCAGGAGCCCGGAGCGGAGGTCGGGATTGTATGGATATGACACATAGGTCATAAGGCGTCCTAATAAAAATTAAGTTTTATTAGTATAAGTGTGCAGTTCAGATCACATCTGAGTAAAAGTGATCAACCCTCAGTAAAAAGTTAAGAAGAAGTTAAGAAATAGTGACGTTGAGTCAAGTCGGTTGAAGTTGCTCCGAGTTAAAAGTGACAAGACAGAGGTGAAACGACTGAAAATAGTAGGTCTATAGCGCAATTTTCGTGTGGAACAATCAGGTAGACAAGTGAATTGAACCCTGAGAATTTCATACACACACAAATAATCAGTAACACATACAAATATCAATACACAAAGCAACCAAAACGCTACAGTGGTTGAGTTAAAGTACCAATACTAACATATAAGTATCAGAAGAAAGAACAGCCTTTTATAGGATTTCTGTTCTCCTCCTTCAACGCTTACTGGGCACTGCCACCTGGATGTTCCCTCCGGGTCACACTACACAACTCTAGGAGCTGAATAGTTGTGGGCATGTGACCCATTCCTTTATATAGCAACCATGCGGGGAGATGAGACCTTTACCCTTCTTCTCATCTCATGCCCCACATAGTGTGAGGACAGGTTAGATGGGGGCTGAGGTCAGGGAGCCTCCGAGTCCGAGGCCGGGCCCTGACACTTCTCATCTTCCCACAGTGGCCCCATATCAGGAAAACTTCCGGGGATACCCAGAAGTCATATGAAGGAGTAGGAACCGGGCCCAGAGCATGTGGCGCACAGAGCGTGTGCGCATGCGGGAAGCGCAGCAGGTGGAAGCGGGTCCAGACGCGGGTCCGGGTCCGGGCTAGTCAGGGTGTGTGCCCTGACAGCCTCTAGATATCAGGGGGTGCTCTAGAATTGATTGTGCGAAACAGTGAATAGAAATGATATATCATGGCTATCGACGTTGGAGGTTTGCTGATGCAACAGAGCTGCACATTGGCTGCACTCAAACAAAAAGCACCACCAAAGCCACAAGGTCTGAATGAGGGAGTGGATGGCCAAAAAGTATCCACAGCTTCAACAAAACAAGCCCTTCACATCACTGGAGGCATCAAGGGATGCAGGACAATCAGTGGAAGTGGGCAACATGTGTCTAGCATGAGTGCTTGAACACAATGTCACACCATGTCACATGTCTCATAGGGGGGTGAACACAACGATTTCATACTTACTTGCATACTCACTTTGTGATGAAACATTCTCCATATTATCGGCACTCATAGGTACAAGTTTGTTTTCTGTCAGAGACCAGATCGAGATGAAGGATTTGTCTCCATGGCAGAGGGCTTCAGCCTCAGCGACTTAAGCCAGGAGCACTGTGCCAAGTTACATGTCCATGCCCTAATTTACTTACTGGCAATGAGAACTAAAGGGGGATCAACTCTAGTCGATTTTATTACTGAGGTGTAACCTATGTACAAGTTAAGTATATATAGTTACAGTGAGGGCAGGCCCATGAATGGTGGGGCCAAGTGGAGTGGAGCTAACGGAGTTAAACATTAGCCGATTGAATATTACCAACAAGTCGGGTTATGGGGTTAGCAGAATGGCAGGTGATAACCCAGAAACGGAAAGGAGGGATAGGCCCAAAGGTGGGCTTGCAGGGCAAGCGAGTGAATTGCCCAGCAGAGGCAGGAGTGCACTAGCGGATGTCAGAGCTGTCCGGAAGCCTTCAGGGCTCCATACTTAGGGAGGTTGTCATATCCATCCCCGGCCATCGACTTCCGGTCCCTCCGATCCCTCCGATCCAACTCCGCTCCTCCCTCACTAACCTCGGAGCCCCCGTATTCCGCAATCCTCTCGGCGCCCCTCGATGGTCACCACCCCCTCATTTCAATTTATTACCTACGCCTCCCTAAGTACAGAGCCCCGAAGACTTCCGGACAGCTCCGACGTCCGCTAGTGCACCCCCGCCTCCGCTGGGCAATACACTCGCCTGCCCTGCAGAGCCCACCTTCGGGCCTATCCCTCCTTTCCGTTTCTGGGTTATCGCCTGCCTTTCCGCTAACCCCGTGAACCGACTCGTCGGTAATATTCAGTCGGCTAATGTTTAAACCCCGTTAGCTCCGCTCCGTTCGGCTCCGCCAATTGCGGAACCGTCTCCGCTGTAACCATATATATATCCCACTTGTACATAGGTTACGCCCCAGTAGAAAAATCAACTAGAGTTACCCCCCTAGGTTCTAATTGCCAGTCAGTAAGTTAGGGCACGGACGTATCACTAGGCACAGCGCTCTTGGCAGAAGTCACTGAGGCCGAAGCCCTCCGTTACGGAGACATTCCTTCGTCTCGACCCTGGTCTCTGACAGAGGTGTAGGTAATATATTGAAAAGAGGGGGTGGTGACCATCGAGGGAAGTGGAGGTGATTGCGGAATATGGGAGCTCTGAGGTTAGTGAAGAAGGAGCAGAGGTAGTCTGGAGAGATTGGAGGTAGTGGAAGTCAATGGCCG